TATAGCAAATAACATATATAGAAAAAACTGATGATACTTACTTCTGTTGAGTAATCTGAGACTGGGAAGAAGGGGGAGGACAGCTTGAAATGAAAGAAAGCGCGGGATCGATCCTCATCTGGTCGTAATTCTCGTAGCCATGTTTGTAGCAGCCAACTAATAAGGATTTGTCTGCCGTCGAGTCCCACCATTTCGCTGGTCGTTCCGTGAACTGCGGAGGGTTTATCCGCAAAGCACTGTGTAGGGCGGTTTCATTTACAATTTGCCAATTCATATGGTGATATTACCGATCAGATCATGACGAAATAATTATTCGAACAATTTTGTAAACTTATAGCAAGTCTCGACGACATTATTATATATTTACATTGTCTATATATATAACATTTTTTTTATATTAAATAAATTTTAAAAAGAACAAAAAATACCATAACAAAAGAATCAAAAAGAAAGAAAGAAAGAAAAAAATTAAATAAAAATATGTGTTTTTTTCTCTCTTTCTTTTAATTATATTATATATTATATTCACAAGCTCTATTTATAAAAGTGCTCCTCCTCCTCTTATTGATATTTTCATAAGTACACTAAACTTCACGATATGTGTGTATATACATATTACCTATATATATACATACATATATATACACCCTAATATCTTACCATCATCACACTGATGTTGATATCCATGACGATTATAAGATGTGGAGAGAATTTTTAATAGTTTTTTTACTTTTCTTTTTTGAGTATGAGCTTACATGTATGTCATATGTGTAATATGAAGAGGAGTATAGGAAATATTTTATATTAGTAGCATAGGGGGCGGGGTCAACAATAAACAGTTTGATTTACAGAGCTACAAAGATAAACAAAGATTTGGCTTTTTATGGACCATTCCTCATACAAGTGCAGTTCCCAGAATAAAACATATACATTGCACATGCAACTATAAAGCTCTATGTAAGCACATATGTGAGTGCATGTTCCGTGATAGACCATCGGGGTAAAAAAAAAATATAAATAACAAGGGAACCATATGTAAAACTGATAAATATATTTAAAATCTACAAACCTGACGTGGACGCCATCGGAAATATGTTGCACCAAGTCACCAATGATTTCATGTTTGATATAATACAGCATTCGTACGCGTAACAATACTCTAAATCACATAAACAAATATTATGTTTAAATATATGATATGAATAATTCTATATATATATTTTAAACTTTAAAGACGTACATATAAAAAACAAAAAAATTTTGTATACATACTTGTTAGCATGTCGGCTTAAATGTTTCCTATAGTTACTTTCCAAAAAGATATCGCCATCGTACTTTTCTGCATTGCTCCAATGATTAGGATCACTTGGTCCACCATTTATAAGAGATCCTCGAGTTTCTCTACCTTCCCTAACTCGAGCCTTCTTCTTTTGTCTACTATTTCTCGAATTCGTACCGACAGATACGTTCTTTACTTTTTCTCCATTCTCCAAAGGTGTTATAAGATCCCAAATGAAACTACGAATTTTTTCATCACCACGATAATAACGAAGACAATATAGTAATATTACTCTTGCGCAATCTTCAACATCGATTTCGCGCCAACCACGACGAAATTGACTGTGCTGCAAAATTTCTTCCCAACGTCCCCAACCAAATGTTAAAAGTCCACGTTCTACTTTGAAACACTCACTTCGTGCCCAACTACCATAGACAACTTCTCCCTCTCGTGGCACGTATTCATCGTAAAATTTACGAGATTTTTTTCCAAATTTATCTCTTCGTTTTTTACCTATACAAAAATATAATAAATATATATTAAATAATTTTCTGCTTTTTTTTTATTCTCCAAACTTAATTACAGAACTTTAATAACATATGCATAATCATGCTGCTACATTTTTATATATGATATAAATATACCTCTGCCTGTTAATCCACCACTAGTTTCATCATCACTATTATCATCCGAACTATCTAATTCTGACATATCAACTACAGATTCGTCATGTCCGTAACGTTTAATTTGTGTGCGTCGTCGAGGTTCTGAAATAACTAATTCATCTTCCTCTTTCTTTTCGGTTGTATCGATTTCAGCTTTTTTAGCCCACTTCTTCCAAAAATCTGGATCATCGATATTAATATCTGATCTATTAGAAGAACAAGCAAAGCTAGCTTTTGAAAAAGTAGATCCTTTCTCAGCTTCGATCGTTATAATCTGTAAATAAACAAAATTAATTTTTAATATTTTAACACAAAATCTTATTTATATTTATGCTTTTTAATTTTCTTTTTTTCATTTCTTAATTAGAATTGAAAGAATTTTTGGTTTTTAATATAATGTCACCTACTTGAGTTCTTCTTTCAAGAATCTGATCAATGTCTTCTTCGCAGAATTTATCTCCAGCATTATCGTCATCCATAATAGCACCATAAGCACCCTTCTTTAACAAATCTTCAATCTCTTTTTTAGTCAATTGTTTATTACTAGGATCCTTGCCACCTTGACTTGTATTCATTGATTGAAGAATGGCTTTATCTAATCCAAGTTTTAAAGAAGCCTTGTCGAACATTTCTCTTTCGTACGTGTTTCGACAGAGCAATCGATAAACCTTTACCATTTTCTGTTGACCGATTCGATGGCAACGAGCTTGTGCCTATAAATATAATTTAAAAAAAAATAATATAAATAGTAAAGAGCATATAGAAAGTTAATTATTTATTATAAATTATTATTATATAGAGTTTTATTTACTTGTAAATCATTCTGTGGATTCCAATCACTGTCATATATAATAACCGTATCTGCAGCAGTAAGATTGATACCAAGACCACCTGCTTTCGTACAAAGTAAGAAAACAAATCTATCTGAGTCAGGCTTACTGTACCGATCAATAGCTGCCTGCCTTAAATTTCCTCTTATTCGGCCATCTATCCTTTCATATGGATACCTAATACATAAAACAAATTTTATTTTTTTAACAAAAAAATCTTGTAATATTTCATAGAAAAATATCCAAAATGTTTTGTTAACTTACTTCTTATATAATAAATAATCTTCCAATAAATCAAGGCATTTGACCATTTGACTAAATATTAAAACTCGATGTCCACTAGCCTTTAATTTCGGTAATAATTTATCAATGAGAACCATTTTTCCGGAACTATTTACTAATGCATGATAATAGGCCTCAGAATCTTCCTTGTCACCAGTCTTGTAATCTAATTGAATTTGATCCTCAGCACCATTAAGAAGGAATGGATGAATACAACATTTTCTCAATTCCATCATTGTATTCATTAAATTTGGAATGTTAGCAGATGTGGTACCCTTAGCAAGAAAGGAGAAATTTCTTTCTAAAATGCCACGATAATATTTTTTCTGTATATTGGTTAATTCCACCTAGAAATGTAATAAGAGACAGAGTTATATAAGATAATAATAGAATTATATAATTATATGAATTCTATATACATAGCAATACATTGTATTCGATAAAAAATAACAAATTAATTTCTAATATTTACCTCTACTACAGTCTCTTCTTTAGGTGCCAAAGATTTTTCAACATCTTCTTTAAGCCGACGTAACATCATCGGTTTTAAAAGAAGCTGTAATTTTTGAACTTCACCTTCACTACTCAAATTTCCAAATTCTTTAAGAAACGCTTCACTACTAGAAAATTGAACTGGTTCAAGGAAATTCAATAAGGAAAATAGTTCATTCACATTATTTTGCAAAGGAGTACCAGATAACAATACTCTATGTTCTAAATTCAATTGTCTAAGGCCTTCAAGCAGTTTACAATTTCTGTTCTTCAGTCTATGAGCCTCGTCAATAACACAAAGTCTCCAATTGTACCCACGTAGCTCATTGAAATCCGTAATGATTATTTCAAAAGTTGTTATGAGGACATTGAATTTAATTAAATCTTTTATCTGTTGGCCTTTTTCATTTTTATAATAAACTTCGTATTCTTGTAGCATGGTTCTACTTGCTGCTCTGTATATAAATAAGAAATTAAATAATATATTTCAAAGTAACTCCAAAAATAACAAACTATCATTATTTTATAAAAGAGAAAAAAAATAAGTTATTTCATAATTTATATACTTACGATCCATGATATACTACAACATTCATGTCAGTCCAACTTTCAAACTCTCTTTGCCAATTTGGAATAGTCGATAGAGGTGCTATTATTAAGAAAGGACCACGAATACCATATTTATACACAGCATCGACAAATGTTAATGACTGAATCGTTTTTCCTAAACCCATCTCGTCAGCAAGTATACAATTATGTCCGTTATACCAAGAAAAAAGAAGCCAATTAAGACCCTCCAATTGATATGGTCGTAAACTATTATTGCTTTTATAAATCGGTGACTCTTCTAGTTTAACCCATGCTGATGCATTTGGTTTCTTTTTAGGCTAAAAATAAAATACGATTAATATATTACATAATATTTTCAGTGAATAACTAAGGAAAAACATTTTATATAAAATTAATATATGTATTAACCTTCCATTGATCCTTTGGTGGTAATTTATTAAATTTATGAAATTGCGCTATCTTTTCAGGATCTACATCTTCTTCTAATTCCCATGTAGAATCTTCGTACTGTAAAGAACGCCATTTAACTAAAAAGTGTCTGACAGTTTCTCCAGTTGTTGGATCTGTATGAGTTGCTTCATCCAACACCCTATCAACTTCGACAAAATCTGGATTGAATGGGTCATCTTCTGTCTATAATAATATTAAAAGATTAATATTTTTTATCAAAGTATCAATAACTAATAATTTTCAATAACCAATATCTTTATTGTTTATTTTAATATTGATATCTATACTTACATTTTCAAATATATTAGTATTCTGATGTAATCTTTGTTTAAACCTTTTTAGTTTAGCTTGTATACGTTTGTCACCCTTATAGAGTTCCTCTTCCGTTCTCCATTCACAATGCAAATATGAAAAATTTCTATATTTAACAAAATATTCTTCAACTTCTATCATCTGTGGCTTTGCTTCTGCTACACTATTTTCTGATGTATTAGAATCAACTACTTTGGCAGCATCCTCTTGTTTATCAGAATCAAGCTTTTTTTCTTCATTCTCAGCATCACACGCCTCTGTTTTTGTATCTTTATCTTTATCTTTATCTATATCTATATCGTTATCTATATTATTATCTTTATCCTTATTATCTTTATCATTATCTTTATCTTTATCACTATCTTGATCCTTATCATTATCCTTATCCTTATCCTTATCTTTATCATCGTCATTATCATTATCATTTACTTCTTTATCCGTACTTTCTACCAACGGTTCCTTTTCAGATTCTTCCGATTTTTCTTTCTCTTCTGTTGTATGTGTTTCAGATAGTACAGCATCTTCAGTTGCATTTTCCTTGGTCTCTTCGGACACACTAGGCTCTGGTTTTATGTCAGGTAATACTGGCGGCTTAACTTCTCTTTTTCCCATACGGGTACATAGAATATGTTGCACAACCATTGAGTCTTCATCAGTCGTATTCTATGAAAATAAATAATCAAATATTTATAATTGAATATTTAAGAAATAATATTAAAAAAGTTTTCTCTGTATTTTGATACATACAATATATACAAAATTAGGCTTGTTTTGTCCCACTTCACCACCCTCATTATCTTTCTTAACAGCTGCTACTTTAGATGTACTTGCACCTTCAGATTTTTTCGACAAATGAGCCTCCTGAAGAGGAACATCATCGTCTGAAAATCGTAGCATAACATCGTCAACATATTTTTTACGGTGAGTATTCCTTGCAGAACGTCTTTTATTGTCATCTCCAGCTTCTGGTGAAGGTGGTGGTGTTGCAGCTAATTCTTCGCCATCAGAGTCAGGTGCAATACGACTTTTCCGTTTCCTATAATAATTTTAGAAAAATATAAATTTGGTCAATTTTGCATTACTTTTTATCTCATTATTCTGTCGACAAATATATTTATAAAGTAGAACAGTAATAGTAATATTGTACAACCAAATAGAAGTGAAAATTCTATGCAAAAGAATAAGATAAAAATTTGTATACCATTTTTTCATTTGAAGTTAATTGTCGAGAAAACCAATTTTGAAGTGTGAACAATTCAATGTGATTTTTGATTTGTTGTTATTTAATATACATACATTGGAAAATCTAGAGTTTCCTTGATTTGACAAAGTAATGCCAATATATATAAATATTTAGACTTACTTAGAACTTCTGCCAGATTTCCCACCAGAAGATTTACTGGAAGATTTTTTCCGAGACGTTCCTTTTTTCTTACTAGAAGCCGGCGTTTCTGAGCCCGTTGTTGCTGCTTCAGTATTTTGTTCTTTTTTCTCATCATCTGGAATTTCTGATTCTACTTTATCCTCCTCTTTAGTTTCACTTACTAAGGGCTCGGTCGTTGAAGAATCAACTTGTTCCTGATCGTCTTGACTTGATATTTCCTTAAGTTTTGTTTCTGAATCTTTGACTACGCTCGAATCAGCGACAACAGTCTCTTCTGCTTCTTGTACCGTATCGTCATCAGCAGACTCAGATTGATTAACTTTTCTAAAAAAAAAAAAAAATTAAATAAATAATAATTATATAAGATATATATGTAAATAAAATATTAAATAAATATTCATAATAAGAAAAATTACTAACTTTCTATTACGTTTTGTTGAGTCTTTATCTTTATTTCTTTTTCTAGCACCTTTAGGAGACTTAGCTTCTTTAGGTGGTTTTGGTTCCTTTTTAACCTTAGCCTCCTTAGGTTCTTTCGGTTCTTTTGGCTTACGTGGTTTACGCGGAATGCGTGATTTTCTACCCTTATTCCAATCTTCCTCCATATCACCAGACGATGGTTTCATATCTTCAGAATCAGCAGCACTGTCAACGATATTACTACTGTCTCCAGGTGTTACTTGATTATCTGATAAAGGTTGTTCAGGTTGAACAAGCGCCTGTGTACTTGCTGGAGGAGCAGCAGCTTCTTTATCTGCTTTTTTTCTGTTCTTTTTAGCCCTTGATGTACCTTTACCACGGCCACGACCAGTAGTACTTGATACCTATAATTTTAAATGATCAGTTATTATTATTATTATTATTTGTATATATATATCAATATTTATACCATAAGTAAGCAATAACTTTATGAAAATAAAATTACAACTTAAATATTTTACCTGTGGGCTATCAACAACAGCTGCTGTGAACATAGGAGTTTGCAAAATGCATTGTGTTCCACCATTGCACTGATCATTTGTTTCGTGTTGCTGTAAAGCTTGTAATTTTTCTTGCAAGGACACTATTTTTTCTTGATTTTCTGGAGCTGGTGGCATACAGTACAGTTCCTGTAATTGCTGTTGCAAAGCAGCTCTTTCTTGATGATGAGTTACTGGAGCACAAGATGTATTGAATGGAGTAGAACCGACAGATGTAGGATTTGTATTAGATGAAACACCATACATATTTGGTACAGTATTACCAGTGATTACATCATTACCGGAATGATATTGCTGTCCTGATGCTACCATCACGTCATTTGTGTACATAGTATTAGTTTTTGGAATATTCGTATATTCATTGAAATTCGATTGTACTGGAAGTGGAGTTTGAGAATTTGACACAGGAGCTGTAGGTTGATGAGGTGTCATTACTATTCCACTAGTTTGGCTAACAGCAGGTACTTGTTGAGCAGTAGTTAAATGCGTAGGTGGAACTTGATTGGTTTGAGATTGTATTTGTGGAGAAGAATTTTGTATTGGAGATTGCAGCTGAGCCTGAAGAGGAATTTGATTTGGTATCATTGGGGTACTTTGGGAGATCATACCAACTTGTTGATTCATAATTGATTGAGGTTGTTGTCCTTGTGCTTGAGCTACACAAACTGGAATTTGCTGAGGTGGTTGTCCCATTTGTGATTGTGGTTGTTGTGTCGACTGAATTTGAGATTGAGGTTGTTGTATTGGTTGAATTTGAGATTGTTGAGGTTGTTGAGCTTGACTTATTACAGGTTGCTGAGGTTGTGCTACTTGAGATTGTTGTTGAGTTGGGCCAAGAGTTTGCAATGATTGTGATGGCTGCTGAGGTGGTATTGGCGTTGTTTGAGTAATTGGTGTTTGCTGCGTTTGTCCTAACTGAGGCTGCTGTATTTGCCCTGGTTGCATTGATGGATTTTGTGATGAAACCATTGGAGATTGGTTTATTATTGGAATTTGCTGTACTTGTTGAGGACAAGTAAGAGTTGGTTGCTGCACTTGTTGTGGTAATACTGGTGGCTGTTGTGTTTGAGATTGAGGTTGAGATTGGGATTGGGGTTGGGGTTGAGATTGAGGTTGAGATTGAGGTTGAGACTGAACTGGAGGTTGAGGTTGAGACTGAACTGGAGGTTGAGGTTGAGACTGAACTGGAGGTTGAGGTTGAGACTGAACTTGAGGTTGAGGTTGAGACTGAACTTGAGGNGAGGTTGAGGTTGAGACTGAACTTGAGGTTGAGGTTGAGACTGAACTTGAGGCTGAATTTGAGACTGAACTTGAGGCTGAATTTGAGACTGAACTTGAGGTTGAGGTTGGGACTGAGGTTGAGGCTGAGGCTGAGATTGAGATTGAGGTTGAGATTGAGGTTGAAGTTGAGATTGTTGTTGTGGTTGTTGTTGTTGTTGCTGTTGTGGCTGTTGCGTTTGATTTATTACAGGCTGATGTGGATGGGATATCGTATTTCCCATGGTTGTTTGATGATGTTGAACAGAAGCAATTTCCATAGTCTGATCATGCTGTTTTGTATCACATGTAACTTCATTTTCCATATTAGTAACAGTAGTAGAGAGTATTCCTGTGACAGATTGTTGCTGCTGCATCGAAGATACATTTCCGCAATCTACATTTCCACTTGTACTAGATGCTGCAGAAGATTGTACTGCTTCCATATGCACATGTGTCGACGATGCAGAAGTATGATCTAAATTAGTATTACTTTGTGAAGTAGTTTGCACTGAGTTTTCACTGCCAGAACTAAGCATATCTGACTTCTGATTTTGGGTAGACTGATCTATAGATTCAGAGCCTTGTGTTGATTGTTCTGTAGAATTTTGTACATTTTCTGTAGAATCTCTTACTGATGTTTCTGCTCCACTATGAATAGCTTCTGTTCCAGATACTGGAAATAATGGAGCACTAGATTCTGATACTACAGGAGGTTGATTTTCAACTATATTTCTATCATCACTGACAGCCAAATTTGGCCTAACCTGTGACTGCTGTTGTGGATGTGACCACTGTGCAGACATTGGCATTCTAGGTCCAGAAATTTGTGGTATAGAGTTTTGTGCAGTTGATTGTTGTAAAACATTTGGTGCTTGGGACAATGGCGGTCGTGTTTGAAATTGATTATAATCTTGAGCAGGTACATTTGGATTAGATACAGCAACACCTGGTATTACCATTTGCTCAAGCGCTTGTAAAGTAGTTTGTTGAGATGATGGATTCATCTGCATTGAAGAAGGTGGACATGGAGAAACTGACATTGAATTAGGCTGATTTGATTGTTGATGAGGAAGTTGTACATGAGGATGAGGAGATAATGTACTTGGCTTAGCAGGAGACATAATTGGTCTTGGAGACATTTGCTGTTGTACAGCAGGTGGTCTCGGAGACATCTGAGGTCTTGGAGACATTTGTGGTGACAATTGTGGAAAAGCAGCACGATATTGAGGACTGGTGGCATGTTTATTAGTATTAAATTGTGCCGCAGGACCAGAATGCTGTGGTTGATTAAACATGGATGTTGTATGATGTGGATATTGAGAATCCATTGGCTGTTGTTGCGTATTAGAATGCTGCGAATGTTGTGAATATTGCTGGGGATGCGAAGGATGTGTCTGATGAGGTGGATGAGGTGGATGATGATGAGGCATTCTTTGTGGAGGTTGCTGCGATTGCTGTTGCTGTTGATGCATGGCTGATGTAAAACCAGGATACCCTGATGAAGTTTGATACATCGCAACAGAATTTCCTTGTTGATAATGTTGTTGCTGTTGCCCAACAATATGTTGGTAGACACTGCCTGTTCCACCACTTTGCATTACTTGATGAGTTGCTACTCCCATATTTCCTATCATTCCTTGTTGTGTACTAAAGTGCTGCTGCTGCTGTTGTTGTTGCTGCTGTTGCTGCTGCTGTTGTTGTAATTTCTGATTCATTACACCAGCTTGATCTTGCTGATGTGAATACTGTGGTGGCATATGCTGCCGATAAGTAGCAGGTTGCTGTGCCATCTGATTATAATGCCTTTGCATTTGAGGATAAGCACTACTACTACTTGGCCAACCCTGCATATTAGGGTCTATATTCATATTAGGTCTAGCCATTGAATGTTGCTGTTCCATAGAATACATATTATCATTATAACTAGGATATTGGCCACCACTACCAGGGTGAGGCCCCCTATGTTGAGGTGCCATACTACGAGCTTGATTTTGAAAAGCTCCTGGCACCATAGCACGTTGTGGCGTTCCACTATCGAACGTTCCTAGATTTTGGTTAAACATACTGCGCTGAGATGGATTTTGTAACTGATTAGAATTTCCAAATTCAGATCCACCGAATGAAGTCAATTTTTGAAGAGGCGATTCTTGTGAAATATAAGATTGGCTAATGTAACTCCCTCCTCCATTAGTGCCAGGGTTTGGACCATCTCTTGATACTACCACGGAATTACTTGTACTCGCAGGGTCAAAATGATCGTTCCCCCCAAGATCAGGAAGAGTATCGAGCATTGAGCCACTGACATCTTCACCAAACAGGTCGTACGAGTCCATGTCTACGCAGCAGGACTCTTCGCCTCCATTTCAGGCTTAAGAGAGTATTGAGCAATCTCTTTTAAAGCTATTAACGTACCCATTTTTGTATCTCTGTTTTGCACTCTGAAACATACGCAAAATAAGTTATGCAGTTTATGTTAGTAGAATCTTCGTATTAAAATTCATCCACAATATTTCCTTTTTGTTAACAATAACTGTTTATACCATAATATTTTATAAACTATCCTGAGCATTAACAGTTGTATATTACTCACGCCAAAGGGGAAAAGCTATACGCTTATGGCTTGATTTCTCATAATCGTTATAGCCTTTCCCCTGTGGAATGAATATAATGCAAAAATTCTTTTGTGTTACCTATTAAAATATAATGTCTTATAAACATGATAGTATTGAAACCACTGATTTACAATAATGTACAAAACTCTGATGTTGAGTATATTATATCTCTTTTTATTAAATAGATTAATGCTAACTTAACTTTGCATTAAAATAACATTTGTATATATTTAATATTATTGGTGTTATTTCTTTCTTAACATTTATATATATATATATATATATGTGTGCACTTAGTATGCATAATTTAGTAAAACTCAAAATGTACCATATAGTTAAAAATAAACTCGTTCAAAAATACATAAAGAAAACAATATTTTATCTATATATGAATATGTATAAAAACATATGAGTACAAATGAATTTCTTCTTAATCTCCTTACGCATTATTTATTTGAAATTTCATGTAAAAACTAATTAAAATATGAAAAATAAAGACTACAATTAAAATTATATACAATAATATGATTATTAATAATTTACTTTAAGTAAATAATTGTATATATATTTCTTTTACCAAAATGAACTAATACAAAGTACTAAATAAATATTTAGTACCAAAAAACTAATTGAATATTAAATGAAGAAATTCATAACAGTTTGTATTTACAATAATTTATAATTATCGAGTTTACAGAGATTTTATTTGCAATAATGCATAAAAGGTAAAAATATTAAACAACCTAACCTAAAAGTAACAATTACGCGTACGCTTGTACATAACAGTGATACTATAAACTCATGTTACTTCTTATTGTTGTGTTATTGTAATCATTATTGTAATAAAATATTCTGCAATTATTTTTTGTCTTTTATTGTACAATTACTCACTATAATTTTAACTGAATTCGATTTTGTCGATGAGAACAATTAACTTTAATATAATTAAATAAGGCCTAAAAAGGAAATATATATATATATACATATATATATATATATATATATATATATATATATATATAAATATGAATAAATAACTGTATTTGTATATACTTTGTACTTCCGTAACCAATCTTCTTCGAAAACGGAAAGAAACCGGAAGACGCGTGAACAATCGAAGGGAGGGAAAGGAGGTATCAAGAGAAAAAAAAGAAACGTTGCTTTTTTTCGAACACACGTATCATCTCGTGTGAGTATAGTATCGGTTTCATTGAATTGTTTCAGATATTTTTTCGAAAATTAATACAAAAACGGTGATAGCGTAAAAAAAAATGCGATATTGTACGAACCTGATAATAGGCCAATAGATCCAAAATAATATTGATGAAAAGGTAGTCGTTTAGGTGGTCGAACGAATGAAATCATATACTTTGTGAGCGGCAATAAGGGTAAAGAAGAAGAACAAGAAGAGGGGAAGGAGAGGGAGGGGAAAGAAGAGAAAATATTACGAGAGAGCGTAAGAAGAAAGTAATCGTCGTAGCCTTTAAGTATGATGGTCGTATAAACAAATCCTCCGGTATTATTACTGCATTTCGAAGTCTTGAGGTTAGAGAACTCGAATAATACGCAATATAGGAACATTTTAATCATTAAAAAGAATCGACACAAGTTCTTCAGAAAAAAAACATCGGAATGTCGGAAAGTACGCCATTATCGCGTGTGAGATTTCCGTTTGGACTTCCGAAAGAGAGAAAGAGAGAGGGAGGGAAGGGGGAAGAGAGAAAGAAAGGGAAAGAGCAAGAAGCGAGAAAATTCGTAGCGGTCAACGCGACGCTCAATATTCTAACACACCAAAGCGTCACTTCACTGTGCACAAACGTTCTCTTCCTCCTCGGCGCGTATGTACTACTGTTCGTAAGAGTAAGATCTTTTTCCGCAGAAAGAACGAAAGAAAGAGAAAGAAAAAAAGACGTCGGAACGACACTAACGTATTTTTTCTGTATCGCGAGAGGACGGAATTGTTCATAAACGTTTTCCTTCTAATCGAAAAACCACCCTCGTTTGAACGCGCGTTCACACAATTTTTACTGGCAGTGTCCGTGGCGGTGGCTGTGGCTGCGGATGCGGAACAGTACGAAACGTCGCGAGACGCAAGCGTGTCCGTAGACCCGAATCATTCTACACGTCTCTCTTTCCTCTCCTCTTTGCTTTCTCTCTTTCTCTCTTTCTCTATCTCTCTTTTTCTCTTTCTCGTTCGTTTGCGCTCCCCTCTCCTTCCCTGCCCGGCACGTTACGCTAGCAGCCAAGGGCTACTCTCTCCCCCACCTTTCACTCTCGTATTCTCCTCCCCACCCTGCCGCAAACCATTCTTTCTCTTTCTCTCTCTAAACCCTACCTTTATGTTGTGCCCTACCCTACACTCTATCCTCTATCCTATCTTGTTCGTGTCGATGGAGGTCGCCACACACACCGGTCACTACGTCGTCGTAACTTCCGTACGATCTCCGCAAATCCGTATACATCTTTTTGCGCACGCATACTACATTCGTTTCTATTTCCACAATTCACCACCTGGTGGCGCCCTTATCGCCCGCTGCTAACCTAAAGTATACGTATATCAATGTCCATACACATTTCAATGGATTGCGATGCGATAAATGAATGTTGCTGGGAATTAAATATTAACTGAAAAAACGGTTCTTTTTAGCTTCTTTTTCTTGTTCTTTTTCTCTTTTTTATAGTATTAACTATTTATTTGTTTACTTACTTTCTTTTCGAACGAACGAACGAACGAGCGAACGAGCGAAAAAGATGTATAACATTAGTCTGCTTTACGTGGGAACCGCAATGCCAAGCTACCGAACCCGTTTATAGTTTTTTCGTTCATTAGTTGATCGATTATAAGCTACTAGCGCTCTCTGTCTTTCATTCTAGTCAGATATATAAAAGTACAACCGTTTATAATTGATCGAACCGAAAATTCGGTCATCTAAAGTAACATTTTTTAAAATTAAATTCATAGCGAAAAAACGTACATATTTATATAAATTTTTTTTTTTATTTTTTTTTTTAAATTAAAGCTATTTCAACTTAATGGGAATTTCTTTAATTCTTTATTAATTTCAAAGATCTTATATGTAGTTTCTTTCATATCTCTCTCTTTCAATCTTAAAATTACCAGATATAAACAATATTAATTACAATTTCTTGCTATAAAAAAATCTTCGAAATTTGATGGTAACACAAAAAATATGATTATAGTAGACTAATAATTATCTTGTTTTATTGAAAAACTAATTTCAACATCCTATACTTGGAAAATTCAAAAGAAAAAACAAATAAGGATTAAGTTATACTTTGATTTGTTTGTTCTTTATCTATCTCAATATTTATTCTTTTTAATTTTTTTTCTAACACGTAAATACGTAAATATATTAACATTTGAAACGTTTGACGCGCTTACAGAACTCGTGTGAAAACATCTTTGCATATTCGAATCTAACTTCGCTATAAATTAAAATTAACAATTATATCTACAGGATCGTAGCAGATAGATTGAAAAATATTGAATCTAACATAGAAACAACTTTGTTTTCAGTCTAGCTTACTTTTATTTTTTAATAATCTTAAAACTTTTAGAAAAGTCAAAAATTTTTAACCCACCCTTATATAAATAAAAAAAAATGTATATACATTTAAAAAAATGTAACACTAACCGAACATTATTATATTTGCAATATGCCAATTTATTTTCCACGAAAGATTACCCATGGCTGACCGCATCTACTAAAATCTTATTGGTGTACCGTAAATGTTGCGTTCACACAAGATGCGGTGCACGGTCACTTGATCTTTTGTCGGCAAGCTATCCAACAAAGCAATACGTATATACATACGGATATACTAACAAAAGACCGGAGTTGTTTCACCTCGGACCAATATGAACGCGGTTTAACTTCAAACCATTCGCGATTGCGATGGCATACTTCTTAATCGTTAAGTTTCTTTCCACACGTATTAGTCTTACGTACAAAATCAATTTTAATACGTTGCACTATTATTTTTTCAAGTATATCACATATTTTCTTGCTTTATTCGGATTAATCTTTCATAGAATTATCTTCGAATAATTAACAAACTATATAAAACGACACAACCAAATGGACGACGACACTAACTGTAAATAATAATAATAATAATAGCATCATTTAATTTGAATTAATATAATCAATAAAATAGACAATTTAAAATTCTTAGGCAATACTTTTTCTTTAATAACGTAACTAATATATCCTTGATGAGTGTATATACGTATATGTATAATTAGGTGTAACAATTAATTCGATGCCTTGATATTAAACTCATTGCATCAAAATCGCTATCTTTTTATCGTTAAGAAATTCGATAATTACCTGAAACGTATACCAAAGTTGTCGAAAATAACGGAAACTATTTTGAAGAAGAACAGATGTATAATTACTTTATATAAATAAATACTAAATTTGTTAAAAGGCATCGAATTAATTGCTACACTTAATATATATAATTTCTTAATAATCGTTCAAAAAAATCGTTGATCAATATTAAGAATTTTAAATAAAAATATAAAATCATTAAATATATAAATATATATAAATTTGTATTAGTCCTGAATTAATAGTAAGAAATACATCGAAAAATGAAAATACTATAGAATAATAATACAAGGAGAATGAATCAAAAGAAACTTGAAGACGCGGATAGTCGAAATAGGAAAAAAAAAGAACGAAGGAAAATAAAAAAGAAGAAGGAAGGTAAGAAAGTAAGAGACTCGCAAGTAAGAGAAGAGAATGAGCGGTGAAAATTCGAAGGGAGAAAAATTGAAAGGAGGTTAGGGTGAACGAATGAGAGGTAAGAGGCAAATGGAAGGGGAAGGCGGGAGATCGCTGACCTGAAGGTTGCGCATTCTAGCGGGAATATTACGAATTTCAACGAACGAAAATACGGTAAAAAAGATATATATATATATATACATCTACATATATATATATATCTACTATAAATCTATATATCTATATATATGTACAGCATATAGATAATATCTTATACACTAGGTAAAGTAGATTCATAACAATAGAATCAAGAAAAGGAAAGATCGAGAAAAGGAAGTACAAAATGAAGGAGACGCGTCGATACGTATACGTATACGTATACGTATACGAATACATGCACATAAACATGCCGTAGACGATATACGATCACCTGCATTATATTGCTCTTTAGAATATAGACATAAAAATGTATACGAGATAATCCTCTAAGAATTACGATATTGTTAAAATCATGTAACTAATGAGACCTATAATGTCTGATAATTACATTTTATATACATACACATATATGGATAAATGTAACGATTCGTCGATATTAAAATATTCTTAAAAGGCATTTATTCATTTTCTTCGACTCTCATATAGAAAATCGCATGCTTCATAAAAATGACGTAAGAATGGAAAGTTCGTTCGCCAAATTAAAATGTGTGTATCTCGTCAGCAATTTATACGCTACACATACTCTGTTATAATAATAAAAAAGATATGCAAAATTCGAAACTTTTGACATCCTATTGTATATTTTTTTATTATTACATATAATATTACTTTTAATTCTTTTTTTTTGTGCTATTCTTACAGAATAAATGAAATAATAATAATGAATGTGCATAATAATATAAAAAAAAAGAAAAAAGAATGAGTTCAATAAGTGTATTAAACGCACTTCTTAAATATAAATAAATAAAAATAGATAAAATCGAAAAGTAAATTCTATATACATACATAGCAACCAGTCGAATAGAAAAAAAAAAGTTTTGACAAAAACGACAGAGCGAATAATAGGGGGGAAGGGTATGTTTAGGAGAAAAAGAGGGAGAAGTAGGGAGAGGTAAGAAGAGAAAGAGAAATAGAGAGAGATAGAGAAAAAGAGGGAGAGGGAAACAATGCCGTTAAGATGCTCGGGAAAAACTATAAAGGGAGAAAGTACGACATGGCTGAACGAACAAAGATTGGAAAACAGACTACATAGGGGAAGAAAACTTACTAACGCATATAGATCGTAGTTTAGACATAGAAAAAAAATTAAATGAGTATAACAAATAAATTAAATAAGTACAATAACAAACGTGGTTGATTAATATTTTGAACTTATGTGAATTGCTAATAATCATTTCAAACAAAGAAAGATAATTATTATATTAACTTACTATGTTACTACATACTTTTTATGCTATTAATTTATTTAACTGCATATAGTAGTATCTATTTTACATATTAACTGCATATAGTAGTATTTAGTATAGTAATAGTAGTGTAGTAATGATAGTAGTAGTAATGTAGTTGGTGTAGTAGTAGTAGTAGTAGTAGTAATAATAGTAGTAGTAGTAGTAGTAATAGTAGTAGTAGTAGTAGTAGTAGTAATAGTAGTAGTAGTAGTAGTAATAATAGTAGTAGTAGTAGTAGTAGTAATAGTAGTAGTAGTAGTAGTAGTAGTAGTAGTAGTAGTAGTAGTAGTAGTAGTAGTAGTAGTAGTGTAGTAATGTAGTAGTGTAGTAACGTTAAGGAAGGTTATATATGCACACAGTATCACATAGTAAGTTAATAATAAAATTAAATATATGAACTTAATGAGTTCAATAAATAAAATATGTAAAAAAAAGTAGAAAGAGATTTACTTATTATTTATCTAATTATTACATATTAAGTGTTATAATCGAACTAAGATTAAAGCAATTATAAATCTACATAATTTGGTCTTAACGTCTTTGTAGAATGATTATAATATACATATTTATCACCATTAGCATTTTGAATCAGAACTACAATGTTTAAGAATAAAACTACTTACCTTGTTTGCTATTATTAAACCAATAGCAGCATTTCTATTTGTATGCTCACTTATAATACCTGTAAATGTAGACTAAAATGATTTATTCACTATATGATCATTTAAAATATGGGAAAATTATTTATATAATTTATAATAAACAATAATGAATAGCATGGCATTATATATTGTATATTAATATAGTAAATTTTTCTATACATATCTATTTTTTAAATGGATATTGTACATGTATGTATAGATGCTTTTTGTCAATTCAATAATAGATAATGTATATATATGAAATTTGTTTTACGTCAGCCAGAAAATATTATACAAATATAGATCAAGGAAAGATTAACTTGACATAATGATTAATGATTGATGACATGTAAAGAATTGTTTTATGAACTTTTCTATGTGATTACACTTTGTAATAACTACCATAAAAAGATGACGATAAAAATGTCTCTAAAGTCATATTTATTTTAATAAAATAATATAATTTAGATAATATAATTATTAATATAACTACAATACATATACCATGTTTTAGAATAGAAAATAATGAAAACTTTATACACGATATAAAACGGGAACAATAATAGATTACAATGTTCATACTACATGAACAATTTTAACTTTTAGTAATAAATAAAACAAAAATTAAAATTCGGCGTGTATAATTAATATTTAAAATTAGAAACTAAATGAAGTAAATAAAAGATGCTTTACCTTTATTTTTTAATAATCTTGATAAAGGTTAGAAAGATTCAAAAAACTAAATGTTGAGGAAGCGCATTGATATATATATATAAGCATGTATATGAAATCATTTATCTGATGCCGGAAAATGAGATTGTATGAAACCCGGAATATATAACTTTCAATATTGAATAATAGTATAATTTTCATGGATCATGAATTTTCGATTACAATGTTATCAATATACAGCTGATTTGTCATCAATGAAAATTATTAAAACTTACAGTTTACTAGGCGCTGATCCCATTTTCTTGCACATTCCATGTAAAATAGTCGTCGAAAAATTCACTTAATCGTTATCTCGGTGTCCATTTTGTTTGGTTAATTACCGAAGAGGCGTCAGTGCTGCCGTGGGTTACGTTGACACAACACGACTGTCTGTCGCTGACTGGGACACGGCTCATCCAGTAATTTAATATATTTAATGTATATATATTTCCAACAAAATTCACATCTAAAGTTTTTTATGTTCTTTTTTAATATTTCACAAAGTTCTTATTTATATTAATAATATATTAAATGTTTTTATAAGAGTATGTAGTTCTTTTCATGTTTAAAAAAAAGCGTTAATACACAGGCGGCGTTCCTTCTAAAAAGTACTCCTCCTTTTACGAAAGAGATATACACAAACATTAGAGAAGAATTCGAGTTTACCGTTGCATTGACTGACAGGTGGCGCTATCGTCGCAGTAGAACTCAAGAAAGAAACTATATGATAATTGAGTCAAAAAAGAAACATATTACAAAATAATAAAAACATGTAAATACAATATAATAAATAAATATATTTCATTTAAAAAATTGTATTAAATTTTTATATTCTATTATTTTTATATTTTTCGTAAATCAACAAATCTAATCAAATTGGAAATATATTACTAAATATTGAATTTACTTTTCAGTTATTACACTCGACCAATCATAGAGAAGTATTGCAAGTCCAATAATACCTATGGGCAGAGAAGCGATCTTGTCGAATTACTGCGAATAAAATAAAGTTATCGATTAAACGAAATGTGGTCAAGCTACTTATACTTTAGTTTAAGAAATTATTACAATAAAGTCAAATAAACCAGATAGTCAAACGATATAGCATATAATAATTATAATTAGGAGATTAAAACTATCTTGTTGTGATTTTGATTTCCAAGGCTTCATAAAATTTAAATCCGCCGTAAATAACCACAATATCTGATAATTTTGGTTCTCAAGAAAGATTTCGTTTAAATACCGTTTATATTTTTTTTGTAACATTACTTATAACAACTCATGTTAATGTATTTCGTCAGAAACAATTACTTATTATTCTCAACTGAGAATTGATTGTATATTCCTCTATTGATAAAAAAATAAACAAATAAATAAACAACAAAATACTGGTCTCTGCAAGAATACATATGATCCTATAAATGAGTCATCAGTAAAGGTCAATCTAGGAGGTTCTATACCCTTTCCATACGCCAAATAGGAATGAGATTTTAATTGAAATATAATGTCAATTAAAACGAATCCGCAATCCACGATGACAAATGCACATAATTGCATTAGAGAAATGGAATATCCAGTCGAGTTCACTCATTATAAATTCGGTGGAGGTGATGGTACATTAATGTTGATGAGATAGTTGTACCGATGATCTTGAATTTATACGTATCATTTGTTTTTCTTTTGTCACCATTTGTTTGTACTTTTATTTATATGCATTTAGTACACAAGATAACAATTTTTGTCATTATTATTATTTTTATTATTATTAATTATTTAGATTTCGTTTCGATCAAACTAAATATTGATATAACTTCAAAATTGTACATTTCTACTTTTAATACATTATTTGTGCAATAGCACAACTTGAGAAATTTAATAAATTTATTTTCTTAGTTTACTATTATACTCCATATTTTAAATACACACATACATGTATTACATAGAATATAATCTTAAATATATTTACATAAAAGATAAAAAGGATGTAGCAATATATTATTATTTATTTAATAAAAGAATATTAACTTCAATACAAGTCAGACTTCTTCATTAAACGTGTAAAGTGCAACTAACGAAATTGGTGCAAAACAATGTTTCAAATGTATACGCAGTTAAAAACCTGATACTGTCAGTTTCTGATCTAACAGTATTTAATTAAACCATGTATACACATTAATGTTATGAAAATATTATAAATACATATAAATTTATTAAGAAAAAAAGAGAAAAAATTTATGACATTTTGGATTAACAAATTAATGGAAATATTAAAGCGCTCATATGTTGATCACACGCACATCACATATTAGATATAAATTAACCACCCAATTGGTCATCACTATCCAATTGATAATGGTGACGTCTTAAGGCTGCAAACCGTAACCTTTCGGTTTCTAATGTTTGTTCCAATTCCAAAATACGTACTTGTGCTTCCATTTCTAGTCTTTTTGCTTGATGCAATGTTAATTTAGATATATCTAAATCTTCTATAAAATTTCAAATGTTATAGTCAAATCCATACAAAAAAAATATATGTATCGAATTATTATAAGAGAGTACATTTTTGCATAAAACATTTTGTTGAATTCATTTCTCTTACCTGTTTCCTCCACAAGTTGGCTACAACTTTTTGCTGTTGCAACAACACTAGCCGTAGCTTGTGTGACTTCTCTGGACGCTTCAGAAAGTGCAGCTAAATTATTACTATTTCTATTAGCTTTGACTCTACTCGCAACTACAAGTTGTGCCGTGGATGCAGCAATACCTTGCGAAGCGACCATTAATTGTTCGAACTTTCCAGAACCAGCTACAACTTTATCAGCTGCTTCTCTGTCAAACAAGTACACAAAAATATAAATTATTCTAATAATTAAATAATCTCTATATTGTTAATACCTACAATAAGAAATTGGCTCCCATGGCAATAGCTTTTGCAGCAGAGATAAGACCCTCAGACCATTGATGATTTCGTTTGTAAAATTCTGTAGCAGAAGCTGTACCCTATATGAAGTAAATATTAATATAATATGATTATTAATAAATAAAAATGATAAATCAATGCATTCGTAAAATATGATCTGTACTAACCTTTCCTTGACTCACGATTTCATGTTGTAATAAACTGGACTTTTTAACTAATATTCTTATACATTTCATTAAATCTGTACAAGAGTCTAAAATCTTTCCATTTACTTCTAATTTTATACCTGAATCTGCTGCACGGGATCTATCCAGCATATCCTAATATATAGATTGATTGAGAAAATTATATGATTTTGTTGATGGAAGGTAATTTATTAATGTGTACGAAAGAAAAAAAAAGAACTATTAGTTTCTTACTTGCATTCTGTTAGCAGCTTCTTCTATAGCTTTATCCATACTAGAAAGTTCATTTTCTACTAATTCACCAATAGCTTCAACATTTCCTTTAGCATTAGATAATTTTTCACTCATAGTTGAGATTTTTTTCAATTGATTTTTAACATTGATTATTTGCTCTTTAGTCATTGGTGATTTTTCTTTGATATATGTTAGCATCATTAAACCTTGTGATCCTAATTGTTTACATTCATCTACTAAACCTTGAAAAATATTTTATTTATTATAACGAATTATCGAATAATATAGAAATATTTTTTTTATTTATCCACCAGAAAAAATGTTGTATCGATTAATATAAATATATTGAATTAATAATTTTAATTTGATGCAGAAAGACTTACTATCACCAAAGACAATATCTGTTGCTGTGTTTGAAGTAGATTTGGCATGTATCAAGTATAATGCAAGCATATAAGCAGCATAAGTTGTACTGCGAATTAACATTTTTCCCTTTGTAGCATCACTTACATAACTGTTGTATGATGCATCTAAAGCATCCAGCGAATCCAATGTTGGATTAACTAATTCTCTGAGGTAATCTGGTGTACAAGTTACAGCTGTTATTGCTGGATTGTCAATCGTATGCATTGCATGCTGCAAGATAGACTCTGCTCCGCATATACAGCTCACTAAAAAATATATATATCGATTTGTTAATTTTTATAAAATATATTTGTTATAATATTATTTTTATGAAAATATACGAAAAACTCACAAACTATTTCAAATAGAGTAGTATCAGCATCTATTTTCATTTGGTTACGCCATCGTTCAGTTTCGGATTCTAAATTCATTATTTTTTGGTCTAACTCTTCTTTTTGTGCTAACAAATCGTGAAGACTACCTTCAACTGCTGCCTTTTCAGATGCGATAAAATCTATCTTTGCTGTTAAAGCCTGAAATACCATTTTAAAGGTATAATTTTATTTATTTGCTATATTAACTCATCCATTGTAAGGACAATAATAATATTTAAGATAAATAAAAAATATTAATAGTCTTATACTAACCAAATTTTGAGTTTTAGCAGCATCAAATTCTTTTCTTACATCATCTAAATCTGCTCTCGCTTGAGCAACTCTTTGTGCTTCTTGTTCAGCAGTAGCTTGTCCTTGTATTAATTCCTGTAAACGTTGTTCTGCTTCAACAGCTCTGCGCTCCGATTGCTCCTGTTGTATTTTTACTCCACCCAATTGTTTATCTACATCAGCTTTCTTTTAAGCACAATATATTTAGTTAACAAAAATAAAAGCAAAGAAATGAAACACAAAATATTTCAAATCACATTTGTATGCATACCTTTCTAATTAAATCAATGTGCTCTTCTCTTAGTTTTGAATATATATCTTTAAGTTTGTGAAACTTCTCTTCGACTATTCTATTTTTTTCTATAATAATAATAAAAAAAAACAATAATAATAATAAAATGTTATGTTCGTAAATACAAATACTGTTTTCTAATATACCTTTAACCTCCTGGAGTTGAACAAACATATCTTCCTTTTGTTTAGTTATTTCTTGACTTGTTTGCTTTTCATGTACAATTTCATTTCCCTAAAGTAGAAAATAATATATAATCAGAGTTGTATAATTTTAATCTATATTATCTTTAATGTGTATAAAATTATGACAAAATTTTACTTTGGTACTAAGAGCAGATTCCAAATCTAAAATACGATTTCGAAGTTCTCCAACAATGCGTTGATGATCTGTAAGCAATTTATGTAGTTCTTGTCTTTGTCGTCCATTTTCTTGATGTAAATGTTTAATAAGATTATCTCTGTAATAATTTTAATCATATGACTATGTGAAAGTAATTTTTAAGTAACTTTATAAATAATTCATTTGTAAGTATAAATGATTATCAAAGATAATCACCTTTCTGTTAATGCATCGGGTGAAATAGATCCATTCCGAGAAGAATCCAATTGATCACCTGGTAATGAACTTGTATCTGATGTATCAATAAGACTATCAACTACGGTTTCATTATCCAATGATTCCTCCGGAGGTAGTACAACAATTGGTGTAACATATGTTCTTAATTCAGCTTGTATTAGGAAATTTGGTGGATTCTGTGATTAGAAGAATATAATATTTTTATTATAACTGTCATTGTGTGTGTGTGTGTGTAGTTATTATTTAATAATAAATTAATAAAACAAATTACCTCTGGTAAGGATGGTATTGTTATTAAATGTTTAAAATACTGCATATGCTTAATAGTATTATAAAAACCTTTCAGTTCTTGAAACTGTTTTGAAAATCTATCGCGATGACCTGTTAACGTATCCGCAGGCAGTGCACCGTGAAGTTTGAATAAAATTTTAACACAATAATCATACAATTTAGATGCATCTTGAATGCACGGAATTAATGGTGCAAGTCGACATTGTCCACATGGTGTCATTGAATTTGAACGTGACATATCCAATGATCCAAATACTGTAATTTATTAATGTAAGTAAAATTTTCATTATTTTTATATTTATTATTATTATTATTATTATTATTATTATTATTATTATTCAAATATTAGTCAAAAAAATACCTGTATGTTGTAAACTCAAAATATCATCCATATAATCAAACATTTCCACTGACATTTGAAAACTAAAGAAAGAAAAGAGAAAGAATAATATATAAATGATGTATAGATTTAGAAAATATTGTTTATATTATAGAAAAAAAACTTACTAAATATTTATATCATTTTCGCCAATTGCTTCGAGTTCTTCGGCAGTAACCTGAAGATTTCCAGGTATACGTGGATTGCGTTTATGGAAATCTAACTTTGTAATTAATAATCGTATATACAATTGAATAAGACGGCCATAACCTTCCCGAAGATGTTGCCATAGTTTTCCAATATCTTCCAATTTACCATAATATCTTTGGGAATCGCTGATTACTTTTGGATGGCCCTCTCGTAATACTTTGTGTAAAACATGGCAAAATTTCCACGCAACGATTTGATGTTCAAATAAAGGTTGCCGTAGTATAAACGTCCAAAATATAGAACCACTTTTATCTTGATATGTGCTGATAATAGCATCTATTATTTAATAAGGATCATTCTATATATATATATATATTATATTAAAAGTTAATATACTTCTTAGTATCGTATTAAATAAAAGGATACTGCGTACATGCTTTTCTTTAACAGGAGTTTCAGTTGGATTCACTGCTTTTCCAATACTAATGATCTGTAAATAAATATTATTATTTATAATAATACAAACAATATGAACTTAATTAATCTCATTATAAATATACTACAATACAAATGTAAATCAGTAGAAAGAAATATTTTATATATATTTATATGTATTATACTAAGCTTTACATATATGTTCTATTTATTTATATAATTAAACTATTTTTTTACTAAACGCATATGTGTTTACTTACCAGTTGATGCAGTTGCTTATCAGTTAGTGGTAATACAGGTGGCATATTAATATAGCAAAATGATTATAACAAGAAATTATAGCAAATATAATAGCATAATAATCAACACATATAACAGATCATCATTTATTGACTTATCGCTCACCCAAAATACAATATGTGGTTGGATCAAATGCTGCAATAATTGTACACATTATCTGCAAAACTATATGTAAAAAAAGAATAAGTTTTTTGTTTAATATAGAAAAAAATTAGTATATATGATATATAAAATAAAAATATTCTGAGCAATACAAGTTTTATTATAATATCTGTCATATTATGAAACACAATATATTGAAAAGACAAAATATTCAGAGTTTTGATTATTAAGAATAAACATTTCTATCCTATGAATATGATATAATAATTAGTATTTAATATGAATATATTAAAATATATCAAACATAAATAAAAAATATATTAAAGTCACATAAAATTGAAGAATTAGATTTGATAAAAATTTTATAAGAAATGGGAAACCGTGTTGATAACAATTACTTATCGAAGAACGAATTACTAAAGACATTGATAAATGTAGATAAATTTCTATCATATTATCAATTTACAGATTTATATATGAAAACGTGTTTGTGTGAAATATTGTAGAAAGAAGATAAAGGAGACAAAATATAAACACAAGAATCAAATAATAACATTTAAAATTAAGATATAATAATAATGAAAACACATACCTGTAATTTGCCGATGTTTTTACGTTCTAAATACAAATTAGTTTTTCTTTGTTGTAATACTCGTAAGGACAATGAAGCCATGCTAAAATTCTAATAGAAAAAGCACGATTGATATTTTATCGATATATTTATATACTATATGTGTATATGTAGATAAAATGCAACGATATTTAAACTTTATAACAAGTATGACTACTATCCTATACTGTAAATATTATCATATCTAATTTTTGTCAGTTCAATTTATAGATGATTAAAAGACGAACCTATTTAATAGCGTTCATTTTCGAAAACACCATTTATATATTATGACATTGACAAAATCTTAACTTTATTACACGTTTATATTGTATATCGATACATATATATATATATATATATATACATATACATATACATATATATATATATATATTTTATCAATGAGTGAAAGTGAAAAAAAAATTACAATCCTAAGCAGTAAATAAACGACGATATCAACGTGACCCACCCTGATGTATGCCGAAGATATTGGTGCAGAACAAAAATTAACCTTCAATGATACACCAATGAAAATGATTGCATGTTGTCCGAGTCTTGCCTTTTCTATCTATTCATATGTATATGTCATTCATGAGTAACCAATCAGAATTTAGGTTGCTTTTTTACAAGAACGTTTCTGATTGGTGTGTGGTAAGTTTTCAACCAATACCACATAAGATATACTTTAACAATTGAGATTGTTATTTATAATTAAAATCAAATTCTTTTAATAAATATGTATAATTATTTTTAATATATATTAAACATAACACATTATTCTAATTACTCTATAAAATTGATTTAATGAGATTAAATTGATAAAATGATATATATTTGATTTACGTATTTTTTTTACATCTCTATTATCATTGGTTATTTTACTATTACATTTGTTCATTTGAAATATTTAAAAATGTGCGCGATGTATAAAAACCTGATAAAGTACTTAATTCATACATTGAAAATATTCAGTGTTATATTATATAATATATAGCTGTAAAAAATAAAATATACTTATTTCTATTGTTATTTGGAAAGCAATATCATTCCAATGAGAATTTTTGTATTAACGATAGTGATGAAGTTACCCATCAATATTAGATTATTTTTTCAATGAAGCAAGTACTGTAAAATATGATATAGATGCTCGGAGTACCTTGAAATTGAAATGCTAATACTTCATATTTTATTTTCATAATTTATATACATATTAATATATTTATAATAGAAAGTATCTATTATAAAAATTAAAATATATACTTACGTTTTTAAATTTTTCGATCGATAATACCAAAACTTTTCCACCTGTTAATTTGCAAGGTTTTGAACTTCTCAGTATAATCATCGATAACAATTTTCTTGATTTTGGTGGTACGTCGTACCATTCTCCAAAATAACTAGGAAACATTACATAAATAGAAACACAAAAATTAAAATCATAAGCATATTTTTAAAAATAATTCTTCTCTTACGCAGAATTAGTTAAAAGAACACTGTGATCAATTAATTTTTGTCCTGGAATATTTACGAAGTACAAATGAAGTGTCTGACCTATGCAGAAAAAACCTAATCTAATGACTTCGTCCGGTTCTCCTAATTTCATAACAGTCTGAAAATTTAATAATTATAAACAGATTTTAGTATAAAATATTAGCATTAATATAACTTTAAAAATATAGTACCTGTACTCCAGTAATACTCATTAATAGCATATTAATGAAAATTTCAAAGAATATTTGAAAACTATAAGCAGATTCAAGAAGATCTGTAAATCTAATATATAATTATACAATTACTTCATAATTATATTTATAATTAAAAATAACGAATTTTCGTTTGTACTTACTGTAATATTTTTTGATGTTGTTTCATACAATTAATGATGTGACAATGAATATTATCATTGATTGAAATATTTTTATTACTTTCGTTATCCTTTTTAACATATTTCTTAAGATTTTGTAATCGGTACCTAAAATAAATATAAGATAATATATATATTCTTATATTATCATATAAAGCATATATATATATTTGGGTGGGTCAAAAAAATGACTTTTTTTTTTTTCAAGTGCCACGGAAAAATGGGTTGCTAGACACCTTAAAACAATTCTCACCAAATATGAGCTCTTAATTTTAATAGGAAGATCCTCCGCATCGCAGTTTTTTATTTTTTTTCAGTCTAATAGATTAAAATTCATACCTCATCATTAATTGATTGTACAGAAAAATGTTCTAGAAGAATTTTGTAGGTAATTTAATGCTCTACAAAAAAGGTATCTTATATTTTTTCCGTAAACCTCATCATTTCAATGATATTGAAGATTTAAATTTGATGATTTTTAGACAAATTTCATTTTTGTTTATGAATTTTATAACTCGACAATAAATGACTATTATAAAATGCGCAATACAAATTTTTGTAGAAAATTAACTGCTCTATAAAAATGGTGTATTATGTTTTGGCGATTAAATTAAGCGTTCACAAGATATTCAGAGACAAAAATCAGTACACATGAAAGTTTGATGATGAATATCTTTTGAACGCTTAATTTAATCGCCAGAACATAAGACATCATTTTTATAGAGCAGTTAATTTCCTATAAAAATTTGTATTGCGCATTTTATAATAGTCATTTATTGTCGAGTTATAAAATTCATAAACAAAAATGAAATTTGTCTTAAAATAATCAAACTTAAATCTTCAATGTCATTCAAATGGTGAGGTTTACGGAAAAAATATAAGATACCTTTTTTATAGAGCATTAAATTTCCTACAAAATTCGTCTAGAACATTTTTCTGTACAATCAATTAATGATGAGGTATGAATTTTAATCTATTAGACTGAAAAAAAATAAAAAACTGTGATGCGGAGGATCTTCCTATTAAAATTAAGAGCTTATATTTGGTGAGAATTGTTTTAAGGTGTCTAGCAACCCATTTTTCCGTGGCACTTGAAAAAAAAAAAAGTCATTTTTTTGACCCACCCTAATATATATATATATAAATATTTATACCTTTACTATTATAATAATTACATACCCAATAACGTTAAAGACTGCAACAGCGTGTTGCACATAACGTACGATTAATGTATCAGTCGCTATCAAAATTGAGATACTTGCAACGGAAACGGCATATCCGTGCATCAGAATATACCAAAAATATTTTTTTTCGTCGACATTATATTCTGTATAAAATATGAATTTTATCGGACGTGTTTCGTTCAGAGGAATAATTATGTCAAGAATTTTAGGTGTTAATGGTAATATTATATATGTTAATGCTACGAAATACATAGAAACTGTAATAAAACAAAAAATAATTAATAAAATATATAAAAAATAACAAATCAGCTTTATTATACTTAATTATATATGAGTATAAAAATATTAGATATTTTCTCATCGTATTTTTATAAAAGAAAATAAAAACTAACGTATACCTGTATAAGCAATAGTCATCTTTTTACCTTCTTCAATATATTTTTTAAAAATAACAGCGTCATTTTCTTTGATCAAACATTGGAATTCCATTTGCGCTTGTTTCAAAAGTTCTCTCATCTATTAAACAAAAATATTAATTATTAAACTAAATATCTAAAGTAATTTACAATAAAGTTTTTACCTTGTGGATATTAATTTTACAATTAAATCCTTTGCATATAATCATTGATTCAGTTAAAAGAGGAGTCAAACATTCAATCGTAGTGTCTATATTGTCCAAAACATCCCATAATTTGAATATCTATTTGTATTTATATAGTAGTATATATATGTAGAAGAACGTATATATTCATATTTATTTATATATATATACACAATTAATTAGATATTTTATAATAAAAGTAATAATAGTAATAATATAAATAATTAATTAAAAGTAATAATATAAATAATTAATTATGATACCTGTGGTATAGCAAGGGAGAGTATTAAAATAGTTAAGAAAGTATGTATAGTAATTCGTTGAATGAAAGGTTGATATGGCCAAAGACCAATGCAACATAATAAAAATTTATTAATTTTATATAAAGGATCGTCGAATAAATCCATTTTATTAACTTTGACGACACAAACAATTTAAAAATATTTTATAATTTTTATTGATTGTGTATAAAATATTGGTAAGAACGTACTAATTTACTGTCAAACTTATTACTGAATCGTAAGTTCTATCGTTTTCACGGAGAAATGTAATTTTCGAATATAGATCGACAAATATCATAGTAATTACAAAGTAATAAGAGGCAAGACTATATGTTATACTATTTATTTTGCAATTAGTCGCGAAAGTTGTTTATATAAAGTTTTATTAACTTTGTTAAAATTATTACTTATCCTTTTTAAGGTTGGTCTCACCTCCTTCTTTCATTTTTTCAATATCATAGACATTACTTTTATGTATGAGATAAAAATTGATCATAAATATTATTAATTATTGTTTTATAAACACGAAAAAATGTGAAATAATTCTTTTTTCTTTTCTTTTTTAGATATATAAAAGATTTCTGGAAGACATATTATTTTTAAATTATTAATAGAATTAAATAAATAAACACATAGAAAACCAGGAAATATTATAATTTATTATTATCGAAGTTAATGACCTCAGATATCTATGTCGGTGTTTCTGTCTGATAATAAAATTGATAAAAGAGATACTATATAACTAAGAAAGATAGTTATATATTTAATTAATTTAATTGGTATGGTTGTCGTTTTAATGTTTGTTTTCTGTATTTTACTATGTATC